CAATGCCAATAAATATAAATCCAAGATAAATGCAAGCAAAGATCAGCATCTCAGGTCATAGTATTTCTAAAAATTCTTAATGGCAAGTGCTAGGTTATTACATTCTGAATCAGAAAATTAGATTTGAGATTTGTTCCTTCTAGTTTTATTCCCTTGTTATGTGACTAAAGCATGCATGTAACCCTACCAAGCTTTGACGTGACTCCCAAAGTGTGAATGAATGAACAAATAAACTTCAATGATCAGAAGATGTGCACTGAGAATGAAGGGTCTTGATAACCAAATGGTTATTTTATATTTGTGGATTAAAAGCCCAAAGCTACGTGGAATTTTGCTGGAAAGAGTGCAATTTTTGCAGACTTAAAACCTTTCTAATACCTTTTACTTTTCTTATAATTAAATTATGCCTCATTCACCACTGTAAAATGTTTTGACATGCAAAAACAAGAAACAAGCTTGAATTCTTAAAACCTGATTTACTGGATTATTTACTAAACTGTAAGAGCTGCATTCTTGATTCAAACCAGGAAAAGGTAACTCATTATTATGTTGGAACATGGCAAAGTTCAATACTAGAACTAGAAGTGCTATGGCACTTGGGACAGACAACATAAAAATTGTGTAATTTACTAAAAAGGAAAAATTGCTTTGCCTTAGAATCTTGTGGAAAAATTAGAAAGTACTGTAGTTTCATGATGGTTTATTCTTTTGGACATGTGATGTGTAGTCCTCAATTAAACCTCAGATTGGTTGGTCTACTGGAAAGCTGCCAGTCCATACAGCTTAAATCTTTGTCAGAAGTGAAGAAATTACCTAATTTAGAATTGTAGTAGAAAGGTGAAAATAGGTCTCTGCAGGCCTTCAAGTCCTATTCCTGTACTTATGTTCCCAAGGAATGTATTACAGGTAGTAGTAGTCTGTGTATCTCTTAACTCAGTTTTTTTAATAAATACAGGTCAACTTGTATCTGTTTTGGAATTTGGCCTTCACTGCAACCTTTGGACTTGTTCACAAGTGACAAATGTATTAAATAGAACTGACTAAAAATGGGAGCATGATTTTGCAAAGAGAGACAAAAGAATTTCAACTTAGGATGACCGGCACGTTGAAGGAGGTGATCCAGAGGGCTGGGGCACCCCTCTTGGCTGGGGGTCAGGTTGTTTTGGGTTTTGGGCAGCCTGGTCTAGTGGGAAGTGTCCCTGCTCATGACGGCAGATTCTATGTTATTCTATGAACTTCAACAACATCCAGTTTTATTCTTCATTCACTGTGGTGCTTCATATGGACTTCCACGTCAGACACCATTTTGTCAGTCTCCCTCTCTGCTGTCATCTGTCACACAGCAACAAAGTGTAATGGAATACTGGTGGGAAGGTTCAACCTCTACTGCCATACCACCAACATCCACCTCTGACATCATGGGCCAACAGAATAAAATAGGAGGCACAACTTTTGGAGCAGCACTCAAGTAAGAAAAAGAATGAGAAACATAACCTTCCCTGAGATATTTAAAGTAATTTAATACCTTCCTGTGTAGATAACAATCTGAAAAGAAGCAGATTTTGAATGAGCAGCTTTGCATCTCAGCTGTATTTATACCAGGCCTGTATTGGATTGAAGAGCATCTCTGGCAATAAGAAAAAGTGAACATGCTGCAATGAAGGCTCAGAAACATTACCCACACTCACTGCCTTTCAAAATGTAATCCAGGCCAATTAAAGAAGATGGTTTTGATCTCATAGAGAGTTTTGTGGCAGACCTGCAAGTCTGTAGGAAAAGTCATACATAAAACTATTGTCATGAGAAAACAGGTATCAATATGAGGTTATTTTCCTAAGAGCTTTCATGTATCTAAAACTAAGCATAATGAAGATGATAAGGGCTCCTACCTTTTAAGGCATGTAACACATGGTTATTGACCTATTTTTGAGAAGTTTCATCGCCGGGTTGCAACTCCTTAGGAATTCTAAGATCCACGTGGTGAGTGAGAGAGTAGCACAGGATAAATTATTCATACTCATATTTCTTACTGTACTGTATCTTATACCATTTGGCAATCAGTTAACTTACACCAGTATGACAGGATTTTAATTAATAGGTCTCAAAGTTACTCCAACTACTGCACAGGATTTTGTACTTCAGTTCTTGTGTACTTAATATTAATACCTCCCAAAAGTGAAGCTAGATATAGAGTGCTTGTCATCTAATGCCCAGTCTAAGTTCTTGTGCCAAAGATTTTTCTCAGCGACCTGTTTTCATTGACTCTTAGTTACTTATGGTAAGACACCAGCACTGATTTACTAGGCAAGCATTTTGTACATGCTTTTACTATTTTTTCTATGTTACAGAGTTAGGGTGTTGTTGTTTTCCTATAAAATATTAGCTTGTTAGGGTTTTGCTGTTCATATAATTTTCTGTGTAAACACTTGTCACAGTGAACACAGGTAACTTATTAAAATGATTAAGTACTGTGTGTCTGAGCCTGCAACAAAGCAATAATGTTTTCTACCCAGTTTCTTCATACAATGCCAGCCTTAAAAACAGCAGACCAAATTATTGTAAAGAAATACAGTTCTACTTGGTATCAATAAGGTTTGGGCCAACTTAATTATTAGAAATATTTGTCTGCCTAATTTTTGAAGTAGTTTCTCATGTATATAATTATAGCTCTTAACTAAAACGATTAGTCTATGTCCCAGTCACTGCTCAGCCCAGGGCTGCTGAATCTTGTGCTACCGATTCCCAGGTATTCACTAGTGGAGAATCTACATCATCGGTAGGAATTTTTATTATCAAAATGATAGAAAGGCCTCTACTGAAGTTTAAGCCTTCCTGCACATGTATGATAAAAGATGTATCCACACGGAGTTCTGTAAACAGAAAATTCATAGAAGGGGTTAAAAGCAGATCTAAGACTAACATAGTCCACTCTTATAAGCTGCTTAGTATTTTAACTCTGAAGTCCCAGAGCTCCCCGCTTCCACATGTTAGTAATCTCCCAGCTATACTCAACAAAGTTTTCATTGTGCAAAGAAAGCCAAGAGGAATGAAGAAGTTGCATCTGCAGTGAAATAGAGGGTAGATATAAGCCAGCTTGCATCTCACGGCCCAGGGATGATTCACCAAGACACTGAGGACATACCCAGAGGGAAAGATTCTCTACCTGTGCTGGAAAGAAGGGGAGCACAGCTAGGAAGGAACTAGCCTTTCCAGTTTACACCAAGTCAGAGATTCTTTCCATATTGGGAAACTGAGATAACAAATCAAAACCAGAATCCAGTCCAGTCTCACAGGCAGGGCTGGTGCCTCTACCAAGCAAGACTGCCCAGCCTGTAGCATTAATAGTAATTCTATGGGAAAGCAATAAGCAATGTTTTCAAAAAGCTGATTATGTGCTACAGAAGTTATATGCAAATATACTTGCCAGTTATCTCACACAGGTGGTCTCAGGAAGCAGTCTCAAGACATATTTAGAGGTAAATCGTGTTCTTCATCACAGTATTGCACACTACCAATATATGAAATTCAAGATGAAACCAGTAGATGTTTTTACATGTAACTGGGTGCAGAAATTAGCCCTTAAGTGTGCTTGAAAGTCAGAGATTTCTCTTGGTGTCAGGTAAGAAAGATGAGACTTCTGTATTCAGCATTAGGCAATTCATGTATACTTCAGCAAGAACTATGCTATAGCAACAGGATATAATGTTTTCACAGAATCGATGATAACAGACTTCAAGATTGAAGCCCTATCTGCTTTTCCTCTCTATCTTGATTAACAGCAATAGTAAGAAAAAGGATCCTGATACTTCCATGTCTCCTAAAAAGGTTAGAAGATGCAAGCATCAAAACATTCATAACTATAAAGTGATACACAACTTTTCTATAAATGGAACGTCTGACTCTTTGCTGTCTTCTAATAGTAATCTATATCCATTTTGGGGTTATTTGCAGGACAACAGTCCCTGTGACCTCGATCTGTTTCTATAAAGGGCCACAAAGCTGTCACTTTGCTGCTATGTTAGACCTTTTCAGCTAGGGGTGCTAGTTGGGAAATGGACATTGGCACAGCAATATTCAGTCTTCACAGAAAGCTTTTTCCTATATATCCATGATTTGTTTTCTACTTCTCCTCTCATCCAAAAGGGAGGCTTGCACACTTATTTGTGCTTTTGAAAATCAGTTTATCTCTCAGGCCCCACGTTGTACAGACTAACAGTTTAAATTTCTTCAGAAGAGGGGAGTAGGAACAAGTCACAGTTAAAGACTAGAGATATTTACCCTCTCTTACCTGCCCTCAAGGAACTGAGGTGCTGCCAGCAATTAGAGATAGTTGTCAGTTCCCCTGGGATTACAATAAGCAGGAACCAGTAAGTGCACTCTGTTCTCATCTACCTGCCCTAGAAAAGCTCATTTGCCACTGAACAATAGCAAGCACTTCACAGTTCTCCTTGAATTTTTTCTGATCTCTGAAAATCATCCAAAATGCAGAGAGTAACTACTGTTTGAGGTTAAAATCCTAATCTAGGAACAGCAGCAAAATTTTGCAACTCATGTAACTCCTCCTAAGTAGTTTCAAAATCTTTTAGTGAAAACATATAGTATGTGTGTTTGGATGTTGTAACCAATACTCAGAAGACAATGAGAACAAGACTGAGTGTCTGCTATTGCAGTTGGTAAGTTACATAATTTTCAAACTTCTCTTCCTGCTTTGTATACTGTTTAATCATTTTCATATTTCTGTGGAAGCAGCACAGCTTTCTGATTAAGCTTCTGTCTGTATTCTGGCTGTTTTTGTAGCTTGCTTAGAAACCATAGAGAATATGATCAATTTACAGCTGCTTATATATGTTGTCAACAGATATAGATTCTTAGTGTTGCATGTAAGTTTCCATTACTTCTTATAATAATGTCATTAAGTTGCCTCATCCTGCACTGCACAGTACAAAGTGTTTTGCTTTGATTTACAGGGCTGATTGACAGTCTTTTTATTTCCTGATGAATAATGGACACGGCAAAACAGAACAAGCACAGGTAACATATAATAAAATTATGGAAACTTTACAAATCTGTGTAGTTTCATATGTAAAGTATGTATAGGATTCTAGTCAGCTATGAAGCTGTTAAATAGTAGACTCATAAACACTGGGATTATGGGGATTTTAATGTGGCTCATCACATCCTAGGTGAGTAAATCAGAAATGTGATTCATATAAAAAAAAAATCAGGTGAAATTAAATAATTATTTTAATATGACACCACAAAAAGCTTTGTGGCATCTTAAATCCATAGGGTAAACTAGCCCTACAGGAACACTCGCCTGTTTTGGTACAGTGGGAAACAAGAACATGTTGGACTGATTGTCAGATTCCAAGTACTTGCCTGCTTGACAGTCCTTCCTGAGAATTTAAGTTGTGTCCTTTTGTGAGAATGAGTAGGAGAGTTTCTGACTTGCTGTTACATCAGCAGGTGGGTGGCATGAATCTCACACAGGCCATTTTGAAGCAATGGCTTTACCAAGTAACTGATTTAATTACTGTTTTCTTTCTCTTACTGCAGATGCCTTCGTAGCGTCTGTTGTTCTTTTGTTCTGCTTTGCCCTTCCTTCCTCTCTGTCTGTTCTTTACCTTCAACATTCATTTGATTTGAAAAAGAATCCCTCAGGAATATTGTTGCTTCCTCTGCAACCTTTGTAATGGTGTCTTTGCTGCTGCTTTTCCCAGTGGCCTGCCTCTGGCTTCCCACCTTCATGGGAGACTGTCTTGTTTCACTTGTCTGGGGCACGTTGCCCTCCAGCACTTCTCCTGAGCAGAAGTCACAGACTGAGTCACAGCTGGGTGTTGTCTGGCTGAAGGTAAGAAACATAACCAGTAATGACCTCTAGCAGTAAGTTCTATGTACTTCTGAGATATTAGTCTGAACAGAGACTGGATTTTAAATGTCAGTTCGTGCTTCAGTTTGTACTTGGCAAACAAGGTAAGTTCCTGTTCCCTATTCACTTTCTCCCTCACAGAAGCTTTGCAGTAACAGTCCCATCTTCCAAACCTGCTTCAGTAGTCTCTCTGCTCTATAGTTAGTAAGTCCAACATCCTCTCCACTTCCCTCTTGATCAGAAAAGCTTCAGGAGTGTTTTTGAATCACCACTTCTTATCCTGAGTCATTTAAGTTCATGGTTCTGAATGTTGTTGCAAGTACACAAAACTGAGCAGGACTCCGAGCAAATAAATACACATGGAACGACAGGGCTCCAACAAACACTGCTCTGGAGGACATAAGGGACAGAGAGACATGTTTGCATTATAGTGAAAACTGCTTTGAAGGCAAGCTCAGGTCTATACATCTATGGAGCTTGTCTCACAAAGTCCAGTTGCATTTGACTACCAAGTCTTGGCATGGATGCAGGCTGCTGGCATTTACTGAGCACCATTCATGCATCTTGTGTTCATGAGCTGTGGGAGCTGTGTGTTTCTATGTGATCCCAGACCAGGCAACTGTTGTGAACAGGTACTTAAAGAAACCTTCTGGAAAGGCTGGTTTCAATTGCCAACTTGGAAAAAAGAGTTTTCACTCATACCTTCTCCAAGTTCAGCTGCCTTCAGCTGTAGAAAACTGCTTTGGTATCTCCTACCAATGCCTACCTATGCCTACTGATCATCTTTCTTCTTTGCACCTACAAAGGATATGTGCATGGCCTTTCTGCCATCTCTCCGAACTGATGTGGAAGAGTCAGGATAGAAGCCTGTGATGTTCTGAGGTCGATGTCTATCTATTCTTACTGTATTTTTTAGAGGGGACCTACAACAAAATGCCACTTGCGGCTAAAGATCACACAATTTTATTTGTATCTGTCTCCAACCAGCTTGAAAATTCTTGTTATTCCCAAGTTTGTTGGCCTCACAGTGGAACAAGAAAGAATATGGCATAAAAAAAGTCAGCATAGCTTCCCACCACCCACAAGTGACAGTAGTATTGTTTAGACAGTTATGCCTCAGGCAGAACTGGTCACAGTACAAATGAAATCAGAATAGAGTTTCAGCAATTTGACTGTTTAAGAATGATGGCTACAGTGGTAAACAAAAACTGGGCAAGCACATCTGTTTTTGCAAGTAAATAGTGAGATGTAGCTAGATTGTGTTTTGTCTCAGATTCAGTCTCAAAAACCATTTTCTCTTATCTCTGTTCCTCTCCCAGTGCCATCCTTGATCGCTTACTTAACATATTTGATGAACTATCATAAAAGAAAAACTGAGATTTCCTGCAGACATTTTTTTTTTAATTTCTCTAACTATATTTCAAGTAAATTCAGTGACAAAAGTTTGATCCCATTATGACTGTACCTTTTACCTGTAAAACACGCATACAACTTTGACAATTATTTTTCTATATTGTTTACCATGAACCTTGCATAAAAGGAGATGAGGTTAAGAGCATTTGCCTTTGTAACAATAGGTTGTCTTTTCAAATGTACAAAACTTCTATTTTAGGCATTAATCAAAATGGTTTCCAGAACCCCTAAGGCCCTAATGCCTGTACTACCACAGGAAACATCTAATACAAAATTTTCTATTTTTCTTTTTTTCCAGGAAAAAAAGATGCTGAGGAGCAAGGCACACGGCAATAAATAAATAAAAGCTTACAAAAATACCATAAACTAAATCTTCTCCAGAGAACATTCCAAAATAAATAGTTCCCAAATGTAGCAACTAGGCATCTTAGCAATTCCACAATGCATTTCATTGGCAGTGAGATAGTTCACATTAATTTTAATGTATAAATTTTAACATTGGCTTAAAAAAATCCAATTTTAGGCTAGACAATTGTGATTCATAAAATGTGGCAACTTATAATAGGATTTTTTTTTTTTAATGTTTCAGCTTCCTACCACCAAGTTTCAGAAAAAACTTGTGACCTGCAAACTTGACCTATATAAACAGAAGGTTTTTCTGTGCAGTAAGTGAACAGTTTGGCACAAATAGTAATATGCCTATGGAGAACTGCTCTACTAAGTCTGGTACTCATCATCGTGATTTGTTTCCTTCTGCGAGTGCTGCCATTCACTAAGCAGCTAGAACACAGGCGCAGAGGATAGAGATTAAATGCCACTGTCTGCCTTCTGGAGTCTGATTCTGCAGTTCAAATTATATTCAGCTACAGAGTAAGTGAATTTTGGTTAATCTACCATAGATCTCTTACAGAGATTTTGGAAGCCTGCTTTTGTTTTGCCTTGTTTCTCAGAAAAACTCTTCAGCACTACTTTTGGTGTATTTTGATATTGCTTCCCCTTGTGCAACAAACCATTTATTCTCCAGAAAATCCAGAGAATAAAAAAATAACAAATAAAAATCTATGACTGTACACCAAAACAAAGAGAACCACCACAAAACCTTAGTGGCATAGCACTGGCACTTAGCTTTCCTTGTAGAGATGACACATTTATTCTATTCTACATAAATCAACTATCAGTATTATACATCTAAAAATATCTATGGGACAGATGAAGCATTTAGTAGTTCATCAGACATGCTTTTTATGTCTTTGAAAGTATAGACTGCTGTCATTAATAGCTGGAGCAGCATATGTGAAAAGGAGCTGTTTATGTTAAATGCTTAGTTAACTGGAGCCCTGTGCGACATTGCTCAGAATGTTGCTAAGCTGAGAGACGTATGGATATCTTCTTAGTACATCTTTGAACACTCAGCTGCACGGAAATACAGATAAGCTGTATTTTATTGGCTATATTTAAGGATCAGAGGTTGCAACTCAACAGCTATTTCATTATTACTCTATACTGAGAGAAAATTTATCTGGCAAAGTGTGATCAGGCCACATGGCTACCTATGCAGAAAGCAGCGTCTAGCAATGCACACAGGGTCACAGCCTTTGAGAGGAGATGAGCAACACCACATTCAGTGCATAAGGGTGCAACACTTCTGGGTTCTTTGACACCACAATGCAGAGAAGAATAAGCTACCTTGCTGTACGTTCTTTTATTTAAAGACTGAACAAAGGGCGTTCATATTCTAAGGATTTTCCCCCTTTACTGTGTTGTCTTACTTGGAATTGCATTGGCCAAGTTTTCCAGTGGAAAAAAAAAAAACCAAAACAACCACAAGTTTATTAGTAGTTCGAAAGGGGTACAGAGTGATTTAAATCACTACTGGTTAAGAAACAGTATGCAATTGCAGATGAAAGCCTTATAATCCACTAATAAAATGGAATTGCAAGAAGCCAAAGCCAAAAAGGACTGCACCTAGCAGAGAGATTAGGGATGAAGCTTTAGAGGACGCTGTATCAAATGAACATGCATGCAGGCCACAACTTTTGCTGCACAGAATAATTACTGGATGGAAGTTTACTGATGCCTATAGAAAGATGGCAAAAAACAAAAAAAAAAACAAAAAAAACAACGAATGATCAGCAAGGAGGCATGAGGCACAGGAAGCTGAAATAGTAAAAGTGAGACTTGTTCGTGGTTAAGCATATGGTTGGCTCTTCATTTATATTTGTCTCTTTAAACATAAGAACATAAGAAGTTCAGAGCTAAGCAATGCTTAGGAGAGAAGAGTAGAATTAAAACCAAAACTACTTTGTGGTCTTTCTTGCCTTTTCAGGGGAAAAAAAAAAAAAAAAAAAAAAAAAGATAGGTACTGATTAAATTGACAAGACTGCATCAAAGATATCTGATATCCAACTGAAACAACATTCTAACATTTATTAATAAAATCTTAAGGAAGTATTACTTTTCAGAAAGGGTGGTCAGGCACTGGAATGGACTGCCCAGGGAGGTGGTGGAGTCACCGAGCCTGGGGGTGTTCAAGGAAAGGCTGGATGTTGTGTTGAGGGACATGGTTTAGTGGGAGCTATGGGTGACAGGTGAACGGTTGGACTGGATGATCTTTTAGGTCTTTTCCAACCTTAGTGATTCTATGATTCTATGATTAAGTAAAATTATTCGTGTGAGCATTCAACTTGTTATTTTAAGTGCACATAATAAAGCATAGCTCAGGGCAGAGGTATTTTAACTATTTATGTGGACAAATTATCTGCATGGATTAAACCCATGCATATAATCCTACTTTGCAGATTACAGAAAAGCACTGATAACATTAACAATTGGCAGCAGTTCTCTTCAGTGAATCTTGCTTTTGTTTCTGCATTCACAGTACGTAGATATGTTCAAAATGGAGCTTTGCCATATGTCATTACATGACTTGACCAAGAAACACACAACTATGGCTCTTGGCAGTCTGACTAAAAAGTATCAGCTCCTGCACTGAGATTCCCTAAGACATCCAAGACAAAGCTCTTCTAGCTTTTATAGGTGTAGCTTGGTGCTCTTGCAACTTGAGCATACTTCTTAAAAGCAAATTAAGATTTTATCAGATTTTATTAATGATATTTCAAAAAAATTAGTATAAGTCAAAAAGGTGGCTGCTGTTATTACATGACACAACTCAAAAAAGTAACCACATACAGCTATTGTAGCAGGTACCATTCTCAGCAATACACTTGGCCACTTCCACAGTCAGCACAACACTTGAGCTGTTTAAGTCTCAAGTCTGTGATTTTTCCGTAAGTGGCCAGGAGAAAAACACACAAACAGAAAAACCTCTGTACCAAGTCAGTTGTAAAGGGAAAGAAGTGACTGATGAGATCAAGATCAGTAACTGACAAACTTCACATACTTCTCTTTCGAGACAGCCAGTGCTCACTACAGATTTGACTGCAATGAAGATGTGGAACAAAACATCTGGTTCTCCAGGGAAAATGGAAGGCATCTCAGCCATCTTCTCATAGATCACCTATACCAGCATTTGGCACAGAATAGGTATGTACATATATAATGCATATCTCCCTGATCCCCTTTACTTACCATTGTGTTGAGCAGAACAGAGGAAGGCCTGCCATGTGGTCACAAACTTCGGTGCATCTGGCCATGACCTGCCTTTCTAGTTTCCATGCAGCAGCATACAAACATTTCTTTCTGTTACGGAAGTCCTCAGAGTTCCTCTGCTATTGAGTAAAATGACTAAGACAAATCTTAAATGAAGAAAATTAGCTTTATTTATGTAAATTAGAAAAATGAACTGTTAGAACTTTGGTCAAATGGTTAATTCTGTACAATTTACAATTATATTTATATACAAGACTTAATAAAATACAGTACATCACACTTTTCCTGAGTCACAGTGTGTTTCTCAGTTCCCTCTCCTTTTTATTTTATTTTTTTCAAAAGTAATTAGAAGCAAGAGGGAAATACTATCCTCAGTTTAATAGTGTTTGGTTTAGACAATACTGGTATTAAGAAAAAAATCATTACTATATGTAGAAAATATTTTATAGCCATTGCAATTTTTAATAGTTATTTCTCTATATTAAAATATGTTCCTTAATAAAAATGTTAATTAAATACTTCTTATTACGAGTTTGTTGTACTTCATTTGACACAAGACAAGCTGACTTCAGGTACATCCAGCTCTCATTGCAGGGATGCATAGATTTATGTGATGTGTGTATATATTTGATCATTTAAAGATCAGGAAACACACATCCAGGTAGAATAGATGTCTGAATTGAGGCACAGTATATTAAAGTTGCTGTCCCATCATGGACAAGATATTAGAGCTTCAATTGCCTGGCTATTGCAGTACAGAATTAACACAAGTATACATCCTGAAAAGTGAGACTATGCCAAGCAGCAAGGCACCAAGCCTGCAAATGCTAACAGATGCACAACAGCCCCACAGTGTAAAGCACTACTGAGTCCTCAGTGAAGAAGCACTGTAAAGCTGTATTTAACAGCATTTGTTAAGCATTGGCCAGCTCAAGAAGTTATTCAGATTACAGCTATTATTATTACCTTTACTGATTTTTTTTTTTTTTTTTTTTTTGAGATCAACAATAATTTATTGTAAGGCTTAAAAGGATATTTAATCTGCTTACTCAATAATTCAGTGTGTTAAATTAGTAATTAAGATACATTACCACCTGCAAGTAAATTTATATCCCACTTGCATCCAAAAAATGATTTAGGTAATTTATTTTTGAGAAACATCAGTTTAAAACAAAATTAAATTTTACTTTTTGGCTAATTGTGGGCCGCTCCTAAATATATCTATCGTAAAGTTCACGAAAGACTTTTAATATAGGCATGTACTTTTCTGGTACTTTAATCCAGAAACAGATTAGATTATTTCTGATAGTCCTATTCATATTGTTTATAGACTCTGCCTGCTAAACTAACAGGCAGTCACCTAGAGTTCTGTTTTCTCTTAAAAGATTTCTATAATTTTTCAGTGCAAACTGAAAAATATATGAGAACAACTCACAAAAATCCTTTGTTTAGAAATTAAAAGGAGTATTTTTTGCTGCTGATATCAAAGTGCAAATGGGAGACTTCAAAGAAAGTTGGTCTTCAGCTGAATGCTCGAACTTTTCCCAGGATTCTTTGCAAGTTTAGCAGTCTTCACTTTGATGCTTTCTTGATTGCCTTTTACAGCTGACTCGAGCCTGGCTTTCATGGTCGGAGAGGAAGCCATTAATTTTTTAAAAACTGATGAGTACTGTGGACCAATTTGCATCAGATTTTGCAAAGCAAACTCATGCAGATTTTTTGCTGTGTTTGTAGCAGAACCCAGGGCATTTTCATCCAAAAGAAAGGAAATAAGGATGGGAAGAAGGCAGGTCACCAGATGAGCACCTGTAAGCATTGAAAACAGGACTTAAAACATACACTCTTTAAAAACAGCTTCACATTGCTAATAGAAGCATTTCACAAACCAAGCTAATATATAACACAAATTGTAAAACAGCTAATGTTATTTGAAATATATATTAGAAAGAACCAACATTGTAACAATTCTGTTAGCGATTATTGTTAAGGAGTCAATTCCCAGAGATCCTTTTGTTCTAATTTATTACTTGTGACAACTTTAAGTGTGTGTAATGTTTTGGATACAAATAAGGGAAGCAACTTACGGTGCTCTTCCTCAGCAGCAGCTGTAAGAGCTGTTACCACCTTGATTCCCTCCTGAACAACCTGAAGTTCTGCAGCATTTTCAGGTTTTGATTTTTCTGTTTCCTGCAATTTTCCCACAATGGATGATACCAAAGAGTGAATATAAGGGTATGACACAGTTTTGTTTGGATGCTGAAAGATGGAGTGCAGTAGCTGGTAGCATTTATACTGTACCTGAAGGGAAAAATCAAATTCACAGTTACAAAAGTGTTATACCTCGGAATACAAGCCAGAGTGTTTTAAAACTCACAGTTTGTTGGATAAAATTTCAGGGAGGGAAAAAAATCTGCCTCACAGTGTGAAAAGAAATCAGTTTTCAGAATGCTAACACATAGTAATTCATAGAAGCATTATAACTTGTAACCAAATTAATAACAACAACTAGATCATGCACCCTCTTTCTTTACAATGAATCCTACATCTCCCCAGACTTTTGAGTTAAGGAAAAAATATTCTTTTTGTGTTAAGATTATGTATTAGCACTGTGTCACTGTCAGCGTGTGAAGCTCTGGGTCTGATGCAGAAAAAGGAAATAAAAATGAAATAAAAGGGTTAAGAATACAGAATATTCTGCAGACAGAATAAAAAAAAATGGCAAAATGTACTGCTGGGCATGGTTTTGTTAACATGTTCGAACCACTCCAAAATACAGCAGATACAGGTAGGACAGAATTAACTGGAGTCAAAACACAAAGCAACTAAACAGGAAATAAGCTAAAATGCCTTTAATATGCTACTGATATTCTTACAACTTCACCAGTACTTACAACAGGATCTTTTGACTCAAGTGTTACTTTAAACTTGTCAATACAACGCTTTTGAAGGCACTCTATGGTAGTAACTTCTGGGCTGGTGGACAGAATGAACACTGTGATAGCGGTAAGCAGGCTCACTTCATCGAGTTCTCGGAGAAGACCATCTGCTATCAATAAAGCAAATGATCTGTCAGATTTGCATTAGGAAGTAATTCTTTGAATTCAAACGTTACAAAGAGGTGGAATAGAAATGTCTAGGTCTCTCTAGGAATCTCTTTTTTTTTCCTCAAATACACAACACTCTGATGCACTGCTATGGTTTGTACCGTTACAGACGCTGAGGCCAAAATCATAATTCAGGAGTGGTGACATGCATGTTTAGAAATACCAGCACGCTCCTACTCCATTCTTTCTTCGTAGGCAGTGCAATAAATATCTTTGAAAAGCTGCTATGACATGTTGGAATACAACAACCTATTTTGACAATTATATACAATTTGCATTAAAAAACATACATCCTTTTCAGTATGACTGAGGCTTTCATTCAAATAAATTAATAACAGCGCTATAAACAAATGTTCCAATAACAGCTACAGCTTTGAGATTAAACAGAAGGAATGACAAAAGCCAAAATTCAAAATGGGCAAGCTAAAGAAACAGTACACAGAACACTAGCATGAGGACAAAAAGGTTTTGATTGCCTTTCTTAAACTCTTGCTTTAATTCACTTTGCTTCCAATACAGACATTGTTTTTTGTAAAGAAATCATATGTACTACAACTGACTTTTACGCTTACACTGAAGTTACAACTTCTGTTTATTCCATCACACAGTGTAACTACATTGTGGCATTGTGTAATGCAGGTGTACATCCGCAGTTCCACATTTATCCTTTACAGATTGTGACTTCTCATGTCAACTGTAGAGACAGGATGGCATTATAGTTTCAGCAGTACTTACCTGCAGGAGAATTAGTTGGCTACTGATTATACTTTATTTATATAAGACATGCATAAATTTAATCTAAACAAAATGAACTTGTCCTTACCTTGATCCCAACAGTCGAGTACAGTGACCAAAGCACTGCGCAGAAGATCTGTCCATGCAGTCCGACTCTTCTCTGCTCGAGCCATTGGTGAAGACAGAAGTCCTTTAAGAGCTTGTAGAGATGCAGCAACTGGCAAAGGCAGTTGGCCATCTTGCTCTTTGACTACAGTTTCTTTAAGTACACCAATAATTAGGTACAAAATAGTAGGAAGAACTGAAACACTTCCTGTAAAACAATGCATATTAATTGTAGTGAAAAGTTCAGGGAGATTTGATATGAAAGAAAAAAAGACACATAATGGGCTACAGATGGAAAAAAGAAATGATATTGTACTATAGAACAATAGTAAGAACTGTTAATTGTTCCATTTGAAGCATACCAGCCCCTATAAAGAATTCTGTAATAGAGCACAGAAGTAAGAAAAAAGAAATTCAAAGAGCTGGTAAAGGCAATAGTTTGCATAGAGAATAACACAGATACCTGAGGCGTGAAAGGAGGAGTGCACCAGAAATGGCTTATCAGCACCCTGTAGCAGCACTGAAGAATAACGTGTATGAATACAATATTGCTGAGGAAAAAAAGACCTCCTCTTAAAGGCTGGTGTGCATTCAAAATGAATCATGGGGTAAAAGTCAATTAATTTGAAGAACCAACCATAACTACTTAAGAGCAGGTTGCTAATGTTCAAATGATAGCTTTGAGTGAAATTGAACATGATATGTTTGCCTTTTAAATTTACGTCTGTATAATAAGTTCCAGAACAGAAGATTAAAGTAGGATAGAAGCACGCATCTACTGTACACTCCTCTGTACAAAAGAAATCCATTAATTGCACTGCAACAACACAGTAGAAAAAGAAAAAAGGCTCTTTCAATTGCTTTGGTAACTTCTGTTACCTGACAGAAAAAAAAAAAAAAATTAGAACAGGAAATTGTCACAAGCAAATCATGAACCTTTCTGCCATATTTATCCAGTTGAGAAAAGTAGGTAGTAACCAGGTTGCTCAGAAGAGCCCAATAATCTTTCATTTAATCTTTCCTTGTGATGAAATAGCATACCTTCAGGAGAGCAGATTGCAGGAACATCAGAGAGAATTAGTAATGCTGCTGATACCAGCCTACTTCCATCTTCTGATAGTAACAGATGTTTTCCTGATTGAACTGCAGGGCTACAAGTTAATTTAGGGTTGAGCTGGGGAAGCTGTCTGACAAGAATACAAACACACAACTCCAGTGTTGCAAAGACCAAGGACTTTCCAGGCACCAGTCCTCCTGTATCTTTGCCTTCTCCAAATTCAGGTAGCGTTTCCTTTTCTGCAGCACCATCATCAACT